CAAGTGACACAATAGGTGGGGATCTAGTCCATTGTCTAGAGTGCTTGCGCGTGACTAAGAGTCAAAAGAAGATCTTCACCTGAAGTGGTCCCCAACACTTCCAAATCAGGTCATGGCCCCGGAATTGCATGGCTCTAATTAGGGCAACTCCAGTGTCGTTGTCGAACCGTGTGATTCGATGAAGACGAACAAGAGCCAAGTTCGCTCTCTCCAGCGTGTGCATCGCTTTGTGGGACCCAAATGAAACTAAAGAATTGTTTTTTTATCCAAGCAGTGCGGCGGTTGACAAGCGCAGGGGAGTTGTTTGGCATCCGGAAAGATTTCTTATTGCCCCTAACCGTCTGCAGAATGCGATTTCGTTTCTGACAACCAACGTCCGCATGCTCTAGTGCTTGGTTCGTTTTTTTTCTTCCCCCGGTTCGATTCTAGCAAACACTCGAGGTGTTCTTAGGTGAAGCACCCGCAACAGCCGCACTGAGGTGGTCACAGGTTTCCTCCACTTGATCACACAAAATGACACAACGGGTGGGGTTCTAGTCCATGGCGTCTTCGGCGATCCATTGTCTAGAGTGTTGTGCTTGACTAAGAGTCAAAAGAAGATCTTCACCCGAAGTGGCGTCCAACACTTCCAAATCAGGTCATGGCCGCGGAATTGCATGGTTCTTAGCTGAAGCACCCGCAGCGTCACATGCAGAAAGAATTAGAGATATGAAGGCACGCCGTCTAGACGGCCTCCCAGGGTGTCCACGTATGTTCCATTTAGTTGGTGTGTTAGATAGAAATTCCGCGACTCAGATGAAGCGCATCACAACTAGCCTTCCTCCATGCATTCGGCAGTGGATAGATGAAGTAAGTGGACGCATTCAATGAAGTAGATGAAAAATTGAATGACCATGCATGCAAAGACAATATAAACTGTAGGTGTACTTTGCATGCAAAAAGTTACTACGGTAGGGGGATTTACATCATTGTGCTTTCACGTGTCCTTTACATTAAAAAAAAGTTACTATGACAGAAGGAATTTACATCACATGTGCCTTCTCCTTTTACATTAATGAATTTACTCTAAATAGATACTAGGCAGTAAATTTCCATGCATGCACGAGTGCCTCCCTAAGCTATCCGGAAATTCACTCAGTAAATTTGAAAGCACTGGACATCTTCTCCTGCGTAGGGTGGGTCGAAAGTAGGTGGACACATTTAATGCCTCCCCTCCATGCTACCATCAGATAAAAACAAGTCGGGCAGGTGGATACATTTAATGCCTCTCCTCCTTACCATCAGATAAAAATAATTCACCGACCATGCAGGAACATTTGTACTTACACATGCATCCATGCATCTAAGAGACAGCTTGGGTTGTGTGCACGTTGCTCCTGAGGTGGTCGGTGGTTGGGGTTGGTCGCCATTAATACGGCTACCATACTTGCATCTACACCCATGCATGCAGAGGCGCCCGTTCCTCCTCCAACTCTTGCCTATATAAGCATGTGCCATCCATTGCTTCATCGCACCCCTCCCAGCCCTCCCAGTGTCTCCATGTGTCCTCCTTGTAGTTCATATACGAGGAATCAGTAGCTATGGCCTCAGGGACAACTGCAGTGGTGAGTGGACCCATCTCAGAGATATATAAAGGCACGCCGTCAAGCGGCCTCAGAGAGTGTCCACGTAGCCTCTATTGTCTCCTCCATATATGATTTATTTCTAGCGGTCCAGATGACAACTCCTCTAGCTTAGCGCCACGCATGTCGTCCACCTCAAGAGTCTGGCAAGCATGCTCTATCGCTTCAAGGGGCCCACCATTTATTCTACCCAAGGTATTTATTCTACCAACCAAGAAAGCATTGACACTATACCTCTATTGGACGCATGCAAACTTGAAACAGGCACACGCATGCAAGCATTACAGCATTAGCACATACATTTAATTCCCACACGCTCATGTCTTTGTCTTCTGAGTAATATCTCATGTGTGGCTGTGTCATTTGAGTAGTAATTTTGATGGTTGCATCGACATACATGATAATAAGTAATACTCCGTATGTGTTAAACTATGTGTGTCCAATTAAGTTAGCTCTAGCTCTCACTATTTGTTGGGATAGTTACGGTAATGTGTATGGGTGACTGGTCCATTAGTATAGATACTCTACCTTTTTTTAGTGTATGGTGTAGTTACTCTACCGTTTTTTAGCGTAGTCACTCTACTTTTTTGAAAGGTAATTACTGTACTTTAGTCTAACCAGTGCATTAGGAACTTGGATTAGTTGATTCGATGCCAACGAAGTCTCTTTAGCAGATTAATCTTACTTGCTCCTTGTATAAGGCATGTTATTGATTTCGTTCTTTGCGTTAATACATGATGTTTTGGGTTGTTGTACGCCTGGTTAACTTAATTAACCAAACCTCATTTGTATGGCCGCAGTGATTAAAGGCATGCATGCATACTTGAGTGAGAGTGTGCATATGCATGCAGTCGCATGTGCATGTGCATGCATGCATGCCTGCTGGAAACAGATGCTCATTATTGCAGCAAAGTGAGTACTCCCTCGGTACTCAAAAATAAAGTTGTTTTGGACAAGGCTTAATATAAATCATGAATAACTTTTAAGTTGTTGAGTTTAGAAATGTGAAAGCCATATAAATAGATTTGTCTTGAAAAATACTTTCATAAAAATATACATATATCACTTTTTAATAAATATTTTTATAAAAACAAGGAGTCAAAGTAATACTTTGGAGACTGTGTCGCTGTCCAAAACAACTTTATTTTTGTGTATGGAGTGAGTAGTTGAGACTGCTGGCATTAATGAGCTTCTTGCACCCAGCAATTGCAATAGACTGAAGTGTCTGTTGCACCTAGATATAGATAATTTTTTACCCATACAATGATGGTAAGAGAGACAAATTTGTTCGTAGCAAAAAAAACTAATTGAATAAAATATGTCGTAAGTAAGTCACCCGCAGCGAAGCGCCCGCGGCGAAGCGCGGGCAGGACAAAAAAAGAAATTCGAACAAATATGTCGTATGTACGTCACCCGCGGCAAAGCGCGGGCACAAGTGGCTAGTACTAGAATAGCATGCTGGGACGCATGCTTGTGGTGAGAAAGTAAGTTTGCCCTTAAATGCACATGCCCTCACTGTTGTGCACATATCACGATATATCAAACGGTGGACATCACAAGAGCATGTGACATTGAGGGCAAAAAAAAAATTCCACTTGTGTTACTATCTATAGCAGTGTTTGACTAGTATCTAATTCACTATTGGAAACAGAGCCTTTGCCGAGTGCAAAAATCTTTGCCGAGTGTTAAAAATCGGACACTCGGCAAAGATCTTCTTTGCCGAGTGCCGCACTCGGCAAAGAATTGCACTCGGCAAAGAGTTCTTTGCCGAGTGCCAGGCACTCGGCAAAAAAGTGCACTCGGCAAAGGACTTCTTTGCCGAGTGCCAGACTCTCGGCAAAAGCGTGGCACTCGGCATAGGCTGCCCCGCGTAACGGTGTTCGGCCACGTCCTTCTTTGCCGAGTGCCTGCTGTTAGGCACTCGGCAAAGATTTATTTTTTTAAAAAATTATTTGCCGAGTGTCCCAGATCTGGCACTTGGCAAAGATTTAATTTTTTTTTGAAATTTCTTTGCCGAGTGTCCCAGATCTGGCACTCGGTAAAGTTTTTTTTTTGAAAAAATACTTTGCCGAGTGCTCCTGACACGGCACTCGGCAAAGATTTATTTTTTTTTAAAAAAAATGTCTTTGCCGAGTGTCTTCACAGGGGCACTCGGCAAAGAGAAATTTTTTAAAAAAAAATTCAAAACCCTCTTTGCCGAGTGCCTTATTCTTGGCACTCGGCAAAGACCCCCTTTGCCGAGTGCCATGCCCCGGCACTCGGCAAAGTTTTTTTTGTTTTTTTGTTTTTGGCTTCCAAATTTTTTGTGCAGCCCTTTTAGAGCACCAGGAACTCCTAGTTAGAATTTGGGTATTTTTTGTGGCTTTTTGATATATTTAGTTACTTTATTTAGTTTACTTGAATTTTTTCGAAAAATATAATTTTGAACTGCACGTGGTACGAATAATGGAATTTAATAATTCAAAAAATGATAGTCATGTTACTGAGTGTAGTGTGAGGCCGTATCCAGGAACGTATCCAAAATTTCGAACATCTTGTTCACGAAACATGACCACGAACTTCTCAATAAGAGTTGTTTTAAATTCTATAAAAAGCAAAGCGAAGTCCGAAAATTATGAAAACTTGTCAAGATGTCATGATATCATATAAGGACTCTGTGATAAAAATTTGAGAAATTTCGTAAGTTATAACGTCTGATGCTTACGGTCCTCATTATGAGATATCATGATCACATACACACAATCATAGAAACATGACTATCATTTTTTTTATAGAATCATTAAATTCTATTATTCGAAATTACTACATGCTATTCAAAATTATATTTTTCAAAAAATTCAAGTAAACTAAATAAAGTAACTAAATATATCAAAAAGCCACAAAAAAAATTCAAATTCTAACTAGGAGTTTCTGGTGCTCTAAAAGGGCTGCGCAAAAAATTTGAAAGCTAAAAACAAAAAAACAAAAAAAAACTTTACCGAGTGCCGGGGCATGGCACTCGGCAAAGGGGGTCTTTGCCGAGTGTCAAGAATAAGGCACTCGGTAAAGAATTTAAAAAAATTAAAAAACATTTTGCCGAGTGCCAGATCGGAGACACTCGGCAGAGAACTAAGAAAAAATAAAAAAAATACTTTGCCGAGTGCCGGATCGGGCGCACTCGGCAAAGCAGGAATTTCACCCCGCCGGCCCAGCGCACCGTAACCGTAACCCATTCACTTTTCACGGTCTCACCCCAGCCGCCGCCGCTCTGGTCCGCATTTCCGCTTCCGCTCCCTCTCTCCCGCCGTCCTCGCGCTCGAGGGATAGGCCACGGAGGTCCGCGGCAGTGCTCTCTTGCTGCAGGTACAGGCCCACCCATGGAGGAGACTGGCACAAGCCATGGCGGAGACTGGCACAAGCCGCCCGCCCGCCTCTGGCACCGACGCCGGCGACTTCCCGGAGCTCCTAGGTTTCTGCGCGCGCGCGGAGGCCCTCATCGCTGAGCTGCTCCTGCTCTCCGACCGCGCACCTCCGCTGTTCGCAGACCGCCGCTTCGACCCCGTCCTCTTCGACTTCCGGTGACATCTCTCGCTGTGTTCTCTGCCATAAATAATAAAATCCGTACCATCGCAATGCGAAAGTGCAACTTTGTGAATTCTCCTCCTATTTGTAGATAGAAATCTGCACATCTCGAGTACCCACCGTAGCTTTAAGTTTTAATAGCTGGAAGCACTGGAAGATCAGCTCCGTGACTCCTGCGGCTCTTACATGCAGACTCCTTTCTGATGGCGCCGTCACTTACCACGGAGAGCTCTGCAATTACCTGAATGATCTGCAGGTTAGGCTTTGCGCCGTTGCAGTGTCTTTGTAACTTGTAGATTGATGCCATTGTTGCTAAATATTTTTAGATGAACTAGAGCGTCAAACATGATGCCCCCAGTCCCAATTTTAGTGACACTAAACGAGTGTTCTTTCATGTTTAGGAAGGGTTATATGTCCACTGCACATTAGATCATGTGTTGGAGAATAACTGCGCATGCCAGTTACTCGTGGAGTCAATGACTCTGTTCGGATGCATGATTCTTATAATGGAACACAAAATTGGTGGGTTGCTGCGCGAGAGGCTCCTTGTGGCACACCTGCGGTACAAACGCTGTTTTAGCTATCCCAATCTGGAGCAGATATGTGAGCTCTGTCGTCGGCATGTGCCGACCCTGGTACTTCTGCTAGTCCTGGTTCATCACCATTTAGCTCGGACATTATTTCTATTCAGAAGTCTGAGGACCTACTCAGGTGGTTCCCATATTCTTGCATTTCTCAGTTGATTTACTTGTCTCTTGGGATGCATACAAAGAAGCAAAGTCATCATTAGTTTCCTGCCTTTCTCCCACTTCCATTCGTGATATCAGTCTTCACCATTATACAAAGGTGAGTATAGCAAAACATTTTATTCTATTATTATCAAAGATTTTCCTGTTTTGGATGTTGATTGTGAATTGCAGCTCAATACCTACTTTTTTCTCTAATTCATAAATTAGTTGAACTTGAAATTTTCTATGCTCCTCTTGGATTGACTATCTGTATTCTTTTCCTGAAATTTTCTCACTTTCCTTTTTTGACTTCTGCATGCTGTTTTTTTCAACTCCAGGTTCCTTATTTTTAGCTGACTTGGATATTCACATGCATGCCATAAACAAGGAGTATGTGCTCAATAATTCTCAGAGTCTTCTTTCTGTCATTAGAGAATGCAATTTCACTCTCCGTTGGCTTTTGCTTCACCGCATGGTAAAGCTCTATATTTACATTAATCATTACTGTACATCTTGTGAAGCAGCAAACCATTGTTATGCTTGTCTTTTTGTTATTTTACATTCTAACATGCTATATCAGTGCGTAGTACCTGCGTGGACATGCTAGTCTTAACTACTTTCAAAGTTACATTTAATCAGTGCGTAGTTCTCGCTTAACCGGACGAGCTATTAGTAACTACTAACTAATATTAGTGTGCAGAATCAATCAAGCGGCATCGAATCTATCCTCATGCTTCAACAAATATGAGTATAGTAGTTTCAGAAACTGTCTTCAGCATTTCTTCATCTAAATTGCATCAGTTCCTAGATGTACATCTTTTATAACATTGTCTGATGATACCTGCTGCTGCTTTCAACTTACTGGTGTATGATAGATTTAAATTCATGTGTAAAGTATAATGCTAGAAAATATCTTTAATGCATGATATTGGACTGTAGTTTATGAAAAGGCATGAGCTCTCAATATGTTTGTCATTTGCCCATTTGACTTATGAAAAGTGTACATGCCTATTATGATGAACTATAATTAAGTTGTTTTGGTGATGTCTTACAATCAGCATCTGTCTTTGGTTCCACTTTACTATGAATGAACTTATGGTTGATTTAACTGAAATGCTTACTGATTTGTGGTCTTATTTTGTAGAACAATCTGGCTATAGAAGGCCTGAGGAGGCAGCAGTGCGGTGCGTGGAGGCAGAGGCCCAGCGGTTATCTGCAAGCGTGTTTCACCATTTTTGCAGATCATCTCTCTAGAAGAGATTCTGACCAAAGACAAGAGATGTTGATTCCGAGATAGGGGAAGTGCTACCCATTTGCCTTAGAAAAGATATATAGGACAAAATATTTGTTAGCTTGATTGTGAATTGATACATACTAGTTAGCTTGATCGTGAATTGATTGTCCTCAAACTATGTGACAGCAGTGGACTCGCTAATAAATGAAACTCAATGTATGTTTCTATGATTGGTACGGTGTATTATTAGTTGTACTGCATGTTAATGCAACGATAATGTGACACCAATTTGTGATGTTTGTTATATATATCTTCTGTTTGTTTGGATGGAATGTAAAAAACAAATAAAAAAGGTTGTTTTCAGTCACTTTGTCGAGTGCAATGGCCATGACACTCGGCAAAGCTGGAAAAATGGGAGCTCGGAAAACCATTTTCCCAGTTTTGCCGAGTGTAATGACCACGGTACTCGGCAAATAATTTTTTTTTTAAAAAAAATTCAAACTTTGCCGAGTGCCGGCCAAAGGGCACTCGGCAAAGATTTTTTTTTAAAAAAAATTCAAACTTTGCCGAGCGTCGGAAAGGGGGCACTCGGCAAAGAATTTTTAGAAAAAAAAATAAAACATCTTTGCCGAGGGCCGAATAGAGGACACTCGGCAACGAATTTTTTTTTAAAAAAAAAAAAAACTCTTTGCCGAGTGCCTGCAGGGTTGGCACTCGGCAAAGAAAAAAAATTTAAAAAAATTAAAAAAATCTTTGCCGAGTGCATGAAGGGTTGACACTCGGCAAAGAAATTTTGTAAAAAATAAAGAAAACTCTTTGCCGAGTGCCTGCAGGGTTGGCACTCGGCAAAGAAATTTTTTTTAAAAAATAAAAAAATCTTTGCCGAGTGCCGCAGCAGCGTTGGCACTCGGCAAAAGAATTTTTTAAAAAAAAAAAAATTTTGCCGAGTGCCCGCAGGGTTGGCACTTTCAAGCAAAGTGACCGCTCAACGGACCGGCGCCGACGGTCGCTTTTCTTTACCGAGTGTCCCGGGGCACTTTCGGCAAAGTCTTTGCCGAAAGTGCCCGATAAAGACACTTTCGGCAAAGAGGGCTTTGCCGATTAATTTTTGCCGTGTGTTCTTTGCCGAGTGCAATTTGGCCTTTATAGAGTGTGCCTCGGGCACTCGCAAAGAACCTGAATCCAGTAGTGATTATATGATGATGATTGCAAATACTCGAGGCCGTGTCTGCTAACACCTACTCCCTCCGTCCCGTTAAGATTGTCGCTCGGGAAGCGGGATTGTGAGGGGGGCACGGTTTTCCAACGACAAACTCAATGGGACGGAGGGAGTACATAAACTCTGAATATTATAATATGTCCGTCGCGAAACAAGAGAAACAGAAGGACCCTCTTTCATTCCCGCCATTACCTCCCTACCCTTCAAACTCGAAAAGCATTTTTTTAATCCAAAATCAACCAAAACCATCTTCTCCAAACTAATTAAGCAAAAAAAAATTCCCCTGCGTGCAGCCTCCCTCCATCTGACGATCGCTCGTCTAGGATCGATCGTCCAAGTCCGTTCATGTCCGTGGCTGCCTGCCCTCCGTCAGGCCTGACCCTGGGGCGGGGCGGGAGGGACGGCCGTCCCAGGTCCATTCCACCGATGGGCCCCCACCCATGCAAATACGTATACACTAGTAATAATACGTATATGCTACGCCAGCACTAGATCTCGTGATCACGGTGCCAGGAGTCACGCACGCCACTCGCGACCTTCCGCCTTTGGCCTTTCCTGTGTGTGCGGCGGCGTTCTAGTGTTCCACTTTCCAGAATTCCAGAAGAGCCGGTGATTCCCTCGTCTCTGATTCGGTGATTCCCTGAACCGAACGGACCTGAATCCCCGTTCGGCAATCTGCTTATCGGCAGTTCTAGAAGAGCCGTAGAGGAGAGTTTCGAAGGCAGGCGCCAGGCGGCAGCAACCAGCAAGGTAGGAATCTGAAACTTATTTACTAATTGTTTCTCGCATGATCTCTACTTTGTAAAATTGTAGTTACTAATTGTTTATCTTAATTTTAAGTACCATGTCATCATGAAAGTATCCTTCTGGCAACGACAAAACAAAGAAAAAATAACGAATAGATAATTTGGTAGAATCACAGATAAGGGCTTTTCGTAAATTTCTTTCTTAAGAGTAATACAAGCACTTCGAGAGATCTAGATGCATTGCCGATAGTTGCTGTGGAGGAAACAGCTAATGCTAATCCAGAAGATTAGGACCATATGGAAGACAATGTTCACGTCGACACGGATGAACACAATGTGAGTGATCATGAGAACGTACTTAATTCAAGTGGAACAGAACCTACAAATTATTTTATATGAATATTGCTTCTGCATTCAGTTAACTGTTTATTAGTAACATTTTGTATATATGTGTATATGCTACCAATGGGTAGTACTAGTAGTATTATCATGTTCATATAAAAAAGGTCTAAAATTTTAGCTTCGTTCCAGGTCTAAAAATACTTAGGACCGGCCCTGCCCTCCGTCGTCGGAGCAGAGCAGGCAGCACGCGTACGTTGCCGTTCCCCGCAGGTTGCAGCCATGGGCCAATGTTGCTCCAAGGGCGCCAGCGGGGCGGTCGACGACGGGGCGCCAGGCGCAAAGGCGGAGGCGCCGAGCCGCGCCGCGTCTAATGGCGGCCACCAGCGACCCTCGTCGGCGTCGGCGGCACCTGGTGGCGGCATTGGTAAAAGGACGTACTCAGTGCAGAGAGCTCCCGCACTGTGCGGGGTCTGGGGAAGGGTATTAGTGGCAAGCCTTACCCTCGCCTGTGCAATGCGAGGAGACCACGACTTGAACCAGGGACCTTCCGGTCACAGGCGGTACGACTCTACCGCTTGCACCAGGCCCGCCCTTCTAGCGGCGGCACTGGTACCAATAATAAAGCGGCGGCCTCGCCGTCCGGCGGCAGGGCCAGCACGAGCAGCAGCAAGCCAGCAGGCCCCCTTGGCGCGGTGCTGGGGCGGCCGATGGAGGACGTGCGCGCGACCTACTCCATGGGCATGGACCTACTCCATGGGCATGGAGCTCGCACGCACCGGTCCACCGGTGAGAAGCTGGCGTGCAAGACGATCACGAAGCGGAAGCTGGCGACGAAGGAGGACGTGCGGCGGGAGGTGCAGATCATGCACCACCTCTCTGGCCAGCGCAACGTGGTGGACCTCAGGGGCGCCTACGAGGACAAGCACAACGTGCACCTGGTGATGGAGCTCTGCGCCGGCGGCGAGCTCTTCAACCGCATCATCGCGAAAGGGCAGTACACGGAGCGCGGCGCCGCGTCGCTGCTCCGCACCATAGTGCAGATCGTGCACACCTGCCACGCCATGGGGTTGATGCACCGGGACATCAAGCCCGAGAACTTCCTGCTGCTCAGCAAGGCCGAGGACGCGCCGCTCAAGGCCACCGACTTCGGCCTCTCCGTCTTCTTCAAGGAGGGGGAGGTGCTGCGGGACATCGTCGGCAGCGCGTACTACATCGCGCCGGAGGTGCTCAAGAGGAGGTACGGCCCGGAGGCCGACATCTGGAGCGTCGGCGTCATGCTCTACATCTTCCTCGCCGGCGTGCCTCCATTCTGGGCAGGTACCTGCTTTAGTTTATCGATTGATCGGAATCCATCGGATTCATGGTTTCTGAATGAATGCTCTTGGTGTGGCAGAGAATGAGAATGGCATCTTCACGGCCATCCTGCGTGGGCAGCTTGACCTCTCCATCGAGCCATGGCCGCATATTTCACCGGGAGCCAAGGATCTCGTCAGGAAGATCCTCCACATCAACCCCAAGGAGCGACTAATGGCGTTCCAGGTCCTCAGTAAGTAGTAAATCTCAACATGTTGTTACCATCATATAATTCATCATCAGAAATGTTGCATTGACATCGCTGATGTAAACTTGCTTGTAGATCACCCATGGATCAAAGAAGACGGGGAGGCACCTGATACACCACTTGACAATGTTGTCCTCAACAGGCTCAAGCAGTTCAGGGCCATGAACCAGTTCAAGAAAGCAGCGCTGAGGGTACATATATATCTGATAGCTACTACTAGTCCACATTCATCTCAATTCTCAAACTGCTCAACACTGCTTATCAAAGCGCTAAACAACACTGCTTAATTACAAGGGAAATTTAATTTAATCTAATTATACCCTTAATTACAAACCTAATGTAGATCATAGCTGGCTGCCTGTCTGAAGAGGAGATCACCGGGCTCAAGGAGATGTTCAAGAACATCGACAAAGATAACAGCGGGACCATTACGCTTGAAGAGCTCAAAAACGGGTTGGCAAAGCATGGAACCAAGCTATCAGACGGTGAAATTCAGCACTGATGGAAGCAGTGAGTTTTCAGAATATACTATTTAAAAATCTGTGGTTCTTTTCAAAATGAGGAGGTGATCGATCTGAAAAAGGTCCCTTTTGAAACTTTCTATATGATTCCAGGCTGATGCTGATGGCAACGGGTTAATTGACTACTGACGAGTTCGTCACAGCGACAGTGCACATGAATAAATTGGATAGAGAGGAGCACCTTTACACAGCATTCCAGTATTTTGACAAGGACAACAGTGGGTAATTGAGCGTTGAAATGACACAGCTGAGATTCTGGGCTATAAATAAATATATATCAAAGAAGAATACATATAATTCATTTATTTCACAGGTACATTACGAGAGAAGAGCTTGAGCAAGCCTTGAAAGAGCAAGGGTTGTATGACGCAGAGAAAATCAAAGAGGTCATCTCAGATGCCGACTCTGACAATGTAAGGAACAAATATTATGTAAATTTTGTTGACATAATAAACAATATATAGAAACCACAGCATCATCAATGTCGTTACGAGGAATGGTGGGTATAATCTAGATCAAATGATTAAATGTTTGCTTGTATTGACTGCATATATGTTTTTTTTTAGTTTCTTAAATCAAGAGACTAAAACTTACTTTGCACATGTAGGATGGAAGGATAGATTATTCAGAGTTTGTGGCGATGATGAGGAAAGTGACCGCTGGTGCTGAGCCAATGAACAACAAGAAGAAGCGAGACGTAGTCCTAGAGTGAAGCAGCAAGTATGTAGTGTGTAACTGTGTATAGCGCTCAAACAAGCAAGTTTTCACAACTGTACACTAATGCAATGGAACTACTTTTGCGATCAGTTGATGGATGGTACGGTACTGTACAATGTGCTATTGGTTGCTGGTTTTGAATCCAATACATACTTAAGAAACTGATAAGGAAATGGACGAGTACATGATGCGTGCTAGCTAATCATTCCGGAAGTCCTGAACCTAACAGAAGCTTAATGTACTAGTGCTAGAGAGAACAATATGGCGACTCAGCAAGTACATAATCATAAGATTACTAATGAAAGCTGTTATATTTTCGTTTTGTACTAGTGCAAAAACAGACGATACATTTGAGGGAACATCATGCAACAAGAAAACTCCAAAAGTTCAATAACTTTCTTCATGCAAATTGAACAAACGATACGGTAACCGTATGGCAGAAGACACAATGATGTCAGTTTATCAACCAAAATGAGAAGTGGCATTAGCCAGTACCAATCAGATCTTAAATCATCCCAAGATATGATGGGAGAATGTTTGTCTATGTAAAAGAAATGTCTGTTGCAGTGATCACTTCCACAGATTGTACAAGGAACATTTTCACACTTGAGACAGTCACTGACAAAAATTGACAATGGTATCATTCTGATACAGCTGCTGAAAAGATATCAATGTCAGAGTCTGTGTAACTCGTATCATAACATGCATATAACAAATCAAGAAAAAGATTACACAGATGACCAAAGATGTTGACAAAATGGTATATATATGATCCTTGAAAGCTATGGAGGCAGTACAATTTTACAGTAACGTGCAAAGCTACAGGTACTATCATTTTCATGGAGGCATTGCAACGAACAGTTGCAAGGTGCACTGCACACAGACATGGTGATCTGGCAACAGGAAACAGAACGCTCTGACCGACTACAACCAATCCAATGCAATGATGAAAGTTAAGAACCTTACAAGGCACCCAATCAAAGGAAAACACGGTAACCCACATTCCGATCCCATGGCCACACAGGACTACAGGAGTTGCTGCAAGCAGCTGTTGGTGAAGAAACAAAGAAAGGGAGGCGAAGGAGTGGGGTTAGTCGAGTACCCTTGGTTCCCAGTACGGGAGGAAGCAGACGAAGTCGTAGACAGAGACAGGGGAGATCGATCAGGAGGCCCGAGGTTGTTGACGCCCACAAACACCAGCAGCCCTGTCATCGGTGCGACAACGACGGATTGAAGAGTAGGAGTAGGGGCGGGGCAGGACAGGGCAGGGCAGGGTGGCGGCACGGCTGGTCTGCCATATCCTGTTTCGGCTTGTAGGAGTTATTGTCCAGCACATTGAGAAAAGAGTTCTCTTTTGGCTGTACTCAATAGTAAAGGAAATTTGGTAGAAAAAGTGAGCTCCAGTGGATTCCTTTCCAATCTCTTTTTCTTTTTTTTTCTCAATCTTAGTAAAATCTTATCTCAATCGCTCGAACGAAAGGGAGCAACCACTAAATTTTCTATATCCCCTTTCCTCTTCTTCCCATCACTGATATCGCCACAGCTCCAGACGGGAGTGCACCTCTAGGGTGCCGCGTTGAGCGAGCGCATGGACAGGCCTCGGGCCACACCTCCGTCGCACCAGGTGAGCAGGCGGGTTGGCCGTGCCGCCGTCATGCTGGGGAGCCCCGAGAGACAGAGAGGAAAGAGAAAAGAGAAAAGCATGTTGCTGCCTTGTCGGGCCATGCCATATACCTCTGATATGACTTGTGCAAGTGTCCCACACACACCACCCTAAGGGTGGACTCGGTCAACAAACTTTGCAAAAGAGTCCCTCGCTCATTTCACCATCCAAATGTTTGCACTTACCGACAAACTCAAAACTTCTTCTAAATTGGATTGCGATAAAAATCGATGAAGGTCAAAATGCATGTTAACTCCCTGATTTGGATCAGGATTGTCCATTTTTTTCTAGGGACCAAAGAGTGACGTGTGCAGGGGAGGACCGAGGACGCGACATGTGCGATCGAAGAGTCCTTTTTTTTAATATGCTTGAGAACTCCGTATATATCTTTATCTTTATATTAATGGAGGAAGCAGGTGCTGCGAACTGAGCAATGGCTCCGTTGGTCAGGTTCTAGGGTGGTGGAACCTGTCGATCAAGATTCAAGTCTTGATTTAGTGGCCCGGATGTTATTTTTCCTGAATTTAGTTCAGAATTTAATAGGCAACTTGCCCATTCACAACGAGGCGTGCATAGTGTGAGTGTACACTGTCGTGTATGTGAGCTGCGTACACTACAAACTGACTGTGAAACTGAAGAGCGAGAAAACCAAGTACTCCCTCCATTCTAAATTATAAGTCATTCTATCTTTGTTGGAGAGTCAAAGCATCTCAAGTTGGAACGACTTATAAATTAAGACGGAGGAGTAACTTCGAGCAACAACAACACTTGTCATTGTATATGAGTGTCTCGCGTATTACAAAATGGACGAAATTCAAGACCGACAAAACCACAAAATCAAGTAACTCGAGCAACAACAACACTTGTCATGCACTACGGGATACAGGAGCTTTACAAAGCCCCAAAAACACACGGCAAAAGACACTCGGCGAGGTTTTAACGGCAAAGCTGCTGTTTGCCGAGTGTCAATCGTCGGGCACTCGGCAAAGACTATGCCGAGTGCCAAAAAACACTCGGCAAACATTTTTTGGGAAAAAAAAACAAGTCGCCGGCGGCACCACCATGCCGCCGCCGCAGCCACCACCGCCACCACAGCTGCCGGCCACCACCACCACCAAAGCCGCCGCTGCCACCACCACCCCCTCCCCGCCGCCACCACCACCACCAAAGCCGCCACCACCACCAAAGCCGCCAGCTTGCCAGAATCCGGCCGCCACCGGCGGATCCGGGAGAGGAGGGCTGGATCTGACCGGGAGAAGAAGAAGGGAGGGAGGGCCCCGCCACCGGATCTGGGAGAGGGAGGAGCCATGGGGGAAGAAGAAGGGGAGGAGAGGCGCCCACAAGGGAAGAAGAAGGGGAGGGGAGGGAGGGCGCCCACAGGGAAGAAGAAGGGGAGGAGGGGCTCCTCCGGCCGAAGAAGACGGAGGAGGGGGAGGTCTTGGAGCCACAAGGCGTGTGGGAGGGGAGAGGAGGGCACTGGGGCCAGGAGGGGAGGGAGCTAGGGAAGGGGAGGGAGGGCCGCCTGAAAGAAGAAGGGGAGGGAGGGGTGCCATGCCGAGGAAGAAGAAGGGGGAGGAGAATGGGCGGGGCGCCGGCGCCGGCGGCAGGGAGAGGAGGGGCGCTGGGGCCGGGAGGGGAGGGGCGCTGGGGAAGAAGAAGGGCGGGGTGCTCGGGAGGGGCGCTGGGACCGGTTAATTAAGTATGATTTTGTCCTTTGCAGAGTGTCCTAGATCTAGGCACTCGACAAAGTTTTTTCATTTTTTTTCTTTTCCTTCTTTCCTAGAAAAAGATTTTATTTCTTTGCCGAGTGCAAAAAAGAAAACACTCGGCAGACACCCTCTTTGCCGAGTGTTTTTTTTTTCGACACTCGGCAAACCCCCTCTTTGCCGAGTGTTTTTTTTTTCAAGTGTTTTTAGCGCAGCACTCAGCAAAGAACTTGTTCGCCGAGTGTCCGAGGGGATACACTCGGCAAACATAAAAACACTCGGCAAATTTGATGTTTCCGGTAGTGATGGTATATGGTATATATATCACAGATTAGCTTGGGCAAGGATAACATGTTGTACCTACAACAGTTTGGTAATATATATAATAATCATATCATATATAATAAGTTTATCGTGAACACGAACGAAATTACATGTATATAATTGCTCCTTATTATAGTTAATAACTAATGGAGTAATAACTGATTGATGAAATAAAGTGGAAATGAAACAAAAATCTTGCATATGCATCTATACATGTCGTGATTGGATTATTGATTTGGATGCATGGTTTATATAGTGTTATTGGATTGGAGAGCATATATATATTATGATCGATATGCAAGCATGCCTACTTGCGTAGAATAAATTAATTTAAATAGGTGGACGACCTGGACTGCATGCATGCCGTCAGCCGTGTCAGCCGTGAGGACGGTGAGGTGACTACAGGGCCTGCTTCTGCGGCGGCGGCGTGTAGTTGTTGTAGTTCCTGACGAGATCACGACACACACTCACGTCATAGTTGAGCAACTTAAGGGTTCACGTAGATCGCGTCCCTGACGCACGCACGCTTGACGCCGACGACGAACTTGTCCACCCACTTCGCCAGCACCGTGCTGGGAAATCCTGTCGTCACGGACGGCCTCCTCGCCCACGGCGATGCAGGGCGCCATCTCGTACTGGGCGCCAGCCGGGTCGGTGGCCTTGAACTTGCGCAGCTCGGCGGAGGACGCGCCCAGGTCCTTGACCATGCGGCTGATGGCCGCGCCCACGACCTTGATGTGGCTGCCCTTGAAGCTCTCCCGCCCCTCGACTAGAGCGTCGTAGCAGTAGGCCACCCACGACCGTGCGTGGTGTTGCAGATGGACTGCACGAACTGCGCCGTCGGGGTGCTGGCCTGCCGCCCGTACGCCGCCGCCGGCTGTGGCTGCGTCGTCAGGGTCACGGCCAAGATGCACGTTGCAAGGGCGCCACCACCACACGTCGTCGCCATCGTATCCTCGTGTAGATAGATCAGTGGTCTTGAGGTTTTATTTGAGGAGGATTTGGTCTGCTCTGCTCTGGTCAAGATGCTCCTACATGGCTATATATATAGCTTGCACCGGTACATACACGTTTGCATGTTTCGATGGTTCATTCTATTTTTAACGAAACTACATATAGCTAGCTGCCTAGCTATAGGCTTGTTACTATTAGTAGTAGCACCTGCAAGTACATGCATGGTTGATGGTCCTAGCTTGGAGCCTTGGACACCCGGATCCGATCCGAACGCGAGGCTAATTTCTCAGCGTACGACTGCGCTAGAACCACGCTACCCCGGACACTATGTTCCAATATGCAGAGCCCATGTATTAATTTTCAAGAGGGTTGTACTATCTCAGCTGTAGTGACTGTCTTGAATTTTAGTAAAACTAACCTTTCCACTGAGTTGTACTAAATGAAAAGAAAAGACACCATGACGTGCGTCGTCATGAAACAAAACATACGCTGATTGAATCCTATGTACATCTTGACAATGACAGACGTGTTCAGGTCAGGCTCCCTCCTTCGGCGCAAAGCTGATGTGGATGTTGGGAGCGGGCTCGATTGTTGTACAAGTCAAACAATTCAGTTAGATTGGAATTTGGAAAGGCGCTATTGACTACAACTGGTGTAAATTCTCCTGCATCACTAGTAAAAATATTATCCAGATTTCAAGAAAATGATTATAGTTCACCAAGTGTTACATGTTAACATATGCAAAATCGTGCATCCTGTCGCAGTAACAAGTAACATAGGAGTATATACCAGCTCATGCCTGATACCCAACTATGAAACTATCATTCTCAACATATATAGGAGTATATACCAGCTATTGCCTGATACCGAACTATCATTCTATTCTGAGGTTAATCAAGCAAATGAAAGGCCGAGCTGAGCTAGCATATGAGAGGCCATATGCAAAAACTTCCGGCTCTCATGCTATGTTGGTTATCCTCTACGTGGACTCTTCTAACTCCTCTCCAAACCGATCAAGTCTTGACACCTCTGCATCATAATCACGGATAAGAGAGTGGTTAATGGAACCATCATCTTCGCTTGCATGGATTTGCCGCCCACCAAACCTGCAAGGCCAAGAAAAGGACAACAAATGCTATCAGAACAGATCAATCTGGGAGCGCAAATGTCAGTTGCTCGGCATTCGTTTATATAATAATAATCTTCTGCGCTTTGACAGGCAAACATGCACAATTCCAAGAGTTACCATCGGATTTTTAGTTAGATACTTAGATGACAAAATTTTCTCCAATATTTCAGGCTAAAATCAATGAGGAAATGATAAATTAAAGGTTTCTGAGGGAAACAAACAGGAGGTGAAAGCCAGAAAACCCATTTCAGCATTTGTTAACATCACATCAGACATGTGTTGACCTACCATCTTCCATTCATCTTCTCTATGCATTTGGCGCCATCTTTCCGGTCTTTGAATTTCACCAGTATGACACCCTGTGGGTGATTTTCACAGACCTGCAAGCACAATCACATGAATTTAGCAAAAGCAGTTTGGTGAAGGATAAAATAAGAACAATTTGGTGAGTTATGCCTGATCCATGCCAGTTTGGCTTTAGAGAATTTCTTTTTACAAAATGTACGTATCCAGCTCACAGTATACTGAAAGATGAAAAGTATGTTTTGCAACAAAGCAATTGGTAGAATTTGTTTCTAGACAAGTTCAGAAAAGCAACATATCTGTGGCTAGGTGTACCTTGACATTATCCACTGGACCAAACTTGGCACATTCCTCTCTAACATCTACCTCAAGCTCAGAAAGAAGGTCTTCATCAGCCTGCAAGGTCAGAATATTTTTGGTTAATCTAATAAAAATGAAAAGAAAGTTGCTTTGAAGCATGAGCCTTATGAGAGCAATCTGAAATAATCTAATGTGTAAACAAGTACAAGTATGCCCTGTCTCTAGGATCAAATGAGCGCAGATTGAAGGCGGCATCAAGCATAGTTCAGCTACTTACTCTCAACTCAGCAGGAGTGAACATGTGCCGTAAAATTACTGTAGTAGGAATCATCACCTTCTTATCATCATGTCCACCTAGTTTGAAAAATTATCAAGAAAGCAAATGAAGTTAGATCCCAAGTTAGAGTTACCTAATGATTAAAATAACTACCAAATAACAGCAATCAAAATTACCCCATCCAAGCATTTTGTCTTCAACCTTTCTGATCTTCCTTTTCTTTTGCTTGTCAGTTTTCTTTGCAATGAAAACATCACCTGAAACACATATGCAGCATCAGTAATAAACTTTGTAGCTGATGGAAGAGTATTTGGTTTTAGAACAATTATGAGATTATACCTTTCTGCTGAAATCTGGCTGGACTTACAGACATCAGAGTCTTACCACCAGGACGGAATGATGTCCCATCCAACAATTGAACTGCTAAAGCTACAGAAGGCTCCTGGATCATCCGGGGAAAAAAAAGACATGTGAAGAAAAGAAACACATAATAAGTCCAAATAGTCTGAGCAGTTTAACAAGGAGATACCTTGAAATATGTCACCAAGGCATCACCCTTTTTCCTCCCAGTTTCCTTGTCAATATAGATCTTCACCCGAGGCTTTTTAGTCTCCGGGTCCTGTGGTATCAGTTTATCAACATTTAAAGGCGCATGCTTTTAAAACATATTATTGATAAGAGAAACAAGTCAACAACGATAGCTATTCAAAATAAGATATCGAGTAAATATTGTAATATCTTTTCAGTTTACTTAAGCAACCAATAGTATTTGATTAATTAATATTAGCCATCTAAGATAACCAATGGGCGTCTGTGACAATATCTAGTATCATAATGCATGCTGTAAGTTTGGACAGCTGAAATTTGCTAAATGATCTATTCAACAGTGAAATACACAAATTCTGGGTTGAATAGTTTGCAACAATTAACAGCCTTGACATGAATAATTGAAGGCCCCAATATCCCATGACTCTGATAAGTCAAATTACAAAGTTCCTTTAACAGTATGCCGATTAGTTACTTTCACAGATGGTGGCTATATATTAGTCCAAGCACCAATAAAACTAAGTCATTTCACAGGTGTGACGTGTGAAAAATGAAAATAACACCAAGAATAAATAACAGACAGTCAGACACAACAAGTTTGTCTCAGCAACACAACAGACTAAAAGCATACCTCCTTTATTATTCCACACTTGGAAAATACCTCCACAATCTGCAAAAGGAATCCAGTATTAGAAGTTCAGAGCAAGCAATTTTTTAAAAAAATAGCCAACTAATTAAGAATGTGTTAAATGATGATTCAAAAGAATGACTTCCATAGGTGATAGGAGAGAAATAAAATGAGGCTACCAAATTAGTTGATACAAGCAATTTACCTCCTCTACTGTGACATCATCAGGCAAACCTGTTACATAGACATGTGTGTTGACTATGAGATCAAACCAACTGTCTGGAGGTTTGTTAGCTTCCTATCAAAGAAGTTCAACAGGTTACTAGAAGATTCAAACTAAACAGTGCAAACTTAAAAAGAAATTCTAGAATGACATGGAAAATGGAAACAATACTTTTTTTTCAGCTGGCTTCTCAGAAGATTTCCGTTTCTTTTCTCCTTTCTTTTCTGCTTTATCAGATTCTTTGTTTTTGCTTTCCACTGGAATGTTAATTTCTTTTAATGCAGATGGGTCAGGGATATCTGGTGCCTGAAATACTTCTTCCTCAAGTGCAAATGTCATCTCTTCAACAGCATAACCGTCCTTTTTACCTGATACATCATTCTATAAAAGCATAGAAGAATTAGATAATTGCAAAAAAAAATGATGGGGGAATACTAAACGATATGAAGGTGGCACAGTTTCTCCTCAAAAGAACAACACCAGAACATGAAACATAATGAAAAACTCAGTGTATATAGCATTATTATTCCCGACATAACTGATAGTTAAGCCTAGTTGCTTGTATCTTACTTTTCTGCAGTTACTATTCACTGTCATGTAGTTTTCAGGTTCCTTGGCTTCCAAGTAGGAATCAAGGCATCTGCTTTACATAGCAGAATATGCTAAGAGTAGGTAGAGGTAGCAAAAGCCACTTTGCTCTATATAAGCAGTGGCAGACCATCTTGTATCAAAGTATTGCAACTTCATTTCAATCCAAGCGGCCTAGTGACCAAGCTGTCCTCTGGGTTTTCTACCAAACCTGAGATCCAATTTCTTATGTCTGGGCATCAATTGGTATCAAAGAGCCTAGGGTTCTAGTGAGTGAGAGCCATGTCCACCGAGAGCCAAATCGCCAGAGCGCGCGCCGCCGTCGGAGGAGGAGCAGTAATCAACCCTCGGGGCGGCGCAGCAGGCGCTGGAGCCGGCGACCGCGCGACGCGCCTTGCTGCCGCAAAGGCAGCGGCTGAGGCTCAGGCCACGGTGGCTGCCGCGCAGCGCTTTGCGCGGAGATGGAGCAGGAGGACGTGGAGCCAGCGGGAGGAGGATCACGCAGCCCACGCCGCCGCCAGACGCTGTCACCAAAGCGGCGTCGTGGCTGTCGCGGGCGTTCGCCGGTGCTGCAGACCATCTACCGCGACTCCGGGGCGGGAACGCCATGGCCGATGCTCACCAAGAGCAACTACCATGAGTGGAGCTTGGTGATGAAGGTCAAGCTGCAGGCTCCGCGGCTTTGGGAGGCGGTTCACGTCGGCGGCGTCCACTACGACGACGATCGCCAGGCCTTGGAGGCTCTGTGCGCCGCCGTCCCCACCGAGCTCGGCGCCTCCATCGCCAACATGGCCACGGCGAAGCTGGCGTGGGACGCAATCGCCGCGGCACGCGTTGGAGGAGATCGCGTACGCCGGGCGACGCTGCAACGGCTCCAAGGAGAGTGGGAAGCCCTCGCCTTTTAGCCCGGGGAACAAGTCGAGGACTTCGCCGTGCGGCTGACCAATCTGATGGAGCAGATGGCGCGCAACAGTGACACCGACTTGACGGAGGAGTGCGCGGTGGAGAAGTTCCTCCGCTGCATGCCGAAGAGGTACGCGCAGATCGTCAATTCGATCGAGATGCTCCTCGATTTCGAGCAGCTCACCGTCGAGGAAGTCACTGGGCGGCTCAAAGCGGTGCAAGACCGTGAGCAGGCACCGGATCCCGAGCCGGCCACCGACGGAGGCAAACTGCTGTACACGGCCGAGCAGTGGCGCGCCTTCCAGAAGAAGAAGGAGGAGGGCGCTGGATCGTCCAAGGATCGTCGGCGGCGTCCTCGTGGCGGCAAGAAGAACAAGCCCAAGGGTGATCGCGACGGCAGCGGCGAACAAGGCAGGCGCCACCGGCGGCGAACGCAAGGCGAACCGCGACGACACCTGCCTCAACTGCAACCATGCTGGACACTGGGCCAGGGACTGCCCTCATCCCCGACGCGAGCGCGAGCGTGCCGGCGCGGCGAACGCGCAGAAGCAGAGGAAGACGCTGCTCTGTTTCTCGCGCACTGGTTCCTAGAGCTGGATGCGGAAGGGAGCAGCGGCAAGGCTCAAGCTTCGACCTTCTGCACCGAGTCCGCCGTCGACCTCGACTTCGAGGAGCCGCGAGCCCGTGTCTTCTTCAACACCGGTTCCGGCGGTGACAAACTCAACGGCCGGTACCTCGACAGCGGTGCGACCCACCACATGACTGGTCGTTCACCTACCTCGACTGCTCTGCCAGAGGCACGGTGAAGTTCGGCGACGAGTCGAAGGTGGAGATCCATGGCGTCGGCTCCATCATCTTCGAGGCGAAGACCGGCGAGCACCGGGTGCTTCACGACGTCTACTACATCCCGATGCTCCGCAACTCCATCATGAGCCTTGGCCAATTGGATGAAGGTGGCTCAAAGGTGGAGATTGATCGAGCTGTGCTGAGGATTTGGGACCAGCGCGGCCGGCTTCTCGTCAAGGTCCGGCGCGGCGCCAATCGCCTCTACGTCCTCACCGCGCGCAAGGATGACGAAGCGTGGCGCTGGCATGAACGCTACAGCCACCTCCACTTCGACGTGCTCCACAAGCTCGCCAAGGACGACATGGTGTGCGGGCTGCCGACGATCAAGCATGTCGGGCAGTTCTGCGACACCTGCGTCATCACCAAGCAGAGGAGGGCTCCGTTCCCGGCTGAAGCCTAGTACCGCGCGCAGGAGTTGCTCGAGCTCGTCCATGGCGATCTCTGCGGCCTTGTGACGCCAGCGACTCCCGGCGGCAGACACTACTTCCTACTGCTGGTGGACGACGCTACACGGTACATGTGGGTGGCCCTCCTGATGACCAAGGACGCGGCTGCGAACGCCATCAAGCACCTCCAAGCTGTGGCCGAGAAGGGGAGCGGGCGCAAGCTCCGGGTGCTGCGTGATGGATAAGTCTCATGTGTGGCTGGTCTTTGTGGGGCTGTGCTGCTCACATGGTCCTTGTGGTTGTTTTTCTGTTTTTAGGACAGCATCTTAGACTAGAGGACAGCATCTTAGAGGACAGCATCTTAGACTAGATAACAGCATCTTAGCTAGGACAGCATCTTAACATCCTAGACTAGCATCTTAGACTAGCATCTTGGCATATGCTTGGCTGGCTAGCAGCCTATAAATATGTAACCCCAACCCCTCAGGTTGGTATGGCATTTGTGTGAGTTTGTGTGAGAAATAGACAAGAAAATTGCCTCAACTCCTAGTGTCATCCTCTCTCGATGAGAGTAAGAATTCTCCTACTACCAAGAGTGAGAATTCAGCGACTAACACTGCGCACCGACAATGGCCGGGAGTTCACTGCCGCGGAGTTCGCCGTCTATTGCGCGGATGAAGGCATCCAGCGCCACTACAGCGCCCCCTACTCGCCACAGCAGAAAGGGGTCGTGGAAAGGAGGAACCAGACGGTGGTGGTCATGACTCGTGCACTGCTAAAGCAGCGAGGTATGCCAGCCAGGTTCTGGGGAGAGGCCGTGGTGACCGCGGTCCACTTGCTGAACCGGTCGCCCACGAAGAGCTTGCTGGGCAAGACTCCTTATGAAGCCTGGCATGGAAGAGCGCCGACGGTTGGTCACCTGCGCACATTCGGCTGCCTCGCCTTCACCAAAGAGCTAAACCAAGTGAAGAAGCTGGATGATCGCAGCCGGCCTGGCGTCTTCATCGGATACGCCGACGGCACCAAGGCATACCACGTCCTCGACCCAGAGACCCAGCGCGTGCGGGTGACCCGCGACGTCGTCTTCGACGAGGGTCGCGGCTAGGATTGGACCAAGGTGGGAGAAAGCTCAGCGTCGGCGGTGGAAAAGGTCACTGTCGAGTACTTGAGGAGCGGAGGGGCAGGGGGAGCGCGAGACGCGTCTTCATCGACATCCCCTGTTTCGGCCTCTGCTTCGCCGTGCTCACCATCACCGGCTCCGGGGGAGCACGGGAACACGGCGGCAGCAGCTGGCACTCCTCCACCGGCCTCACCAATGGTGCCATAAGCCGCGACATCATCTTCTTCCCCTACTGCCACAACGCCGCCCGCTGATCAGCCCCACGTCGAGCTCGCCACGCCGCTGAAGGATGACGAGGATCGTCTGGACACGTTCTACGTTGACGAACCCCTCCGCTACTGCACGGTGACGAACATCATCGGCGATGAGTCTCCACCAGGGCTGGCGCCGCGTCTCTTCGCCCAGCTGCACTTGACTCGTGCCGGCGAGCCAACCAATTACGCTGAAGCGCAAGGCGATCCAGCTTGGAAGGCCACCATGAAGCAGGAGCTCTAGGCTGTGGAGAAGAACAAGACCTGGGAGCTCGTTGATCTACCTGCCGATCACAGCCCGATCACCTTCAAATGGGTCTTCAAGCTGAAGAAGGACGAGAAGGGGGCGGTGACCAAGCACAAGGCGCGGCTGGCGGCACGAGGTTTCGTCCAGCAAGAGGGCATCGACTACGACGATGCGTTCGCCCCCGTGGCGCGCATGGAGTCGGTGCGCGTCTTCCTCGCGCTGGCGGCTCAAGAAGGATGGCGGGTGAACCACATGGACGTGAAGTCCGCGTTCCTCAACGATGACCTCAAGGAAGAGGTGTACGTGCGTCAGCCGCCTGGCTTCGCCATCACCGGGAAGGAGGACAAGGTGTACCGCCGGCGTAAAGCCCTCTATGGCCTACGGCAGGCACCGCGCCTGGAGCGCGAAGTTGGACGCCACACTCAAGGAGATGGGCTTCCACCAGAGCGCGCACGAGGCGGCGGTGTACCGGCGGGGCAGCAGGCGCACTGTCCTGCTCGTCGGCGTCTACGTCAATGACCTCATCATCACCGGTGCTGAGGAAAAAGTGAAGAAGTTCAAGGCGCCGATGAAGAACAAGCTCGACATGAGCGACCTCGGCCTCCTCTGCTTCTACCTCGGCGTCGAGGTGCGCCAGGATGCCAGCGGCATCACCCTCCGTCAGGCTCACTACGCCAAGCGGATCCTCGAGCTCAATGAGATGGTTGGCTGCAACCCTGCCCACACGCCAATGGAGGATAAGTTGTGGCTCAATCGAGAGAGCACTGCGGAGGAGGTGGACTCTATGCACTACCGGCGGCTTGTCGGCAGCCTCCGGTACCTGGTGCATACCCGGCCAAACTTGGCGTTCGCAGTCGGGTACGTGAGCCGGTTCATGGAACGGCCCACGGTGGAGCATCTACAGGCGGTGAAGCGCGTTCTTCGTTACGTGGCCGGGACCCTAGACTACGATCTGCACTACAAGAGGGCTCCTGGCACGGCGCGCTTCATCGGCTACTGCGACAGTGACCTTGCCGGCGACATCGACACAAGCAAGAACACCAGTGGAACCATGTTCTTCCTAGGTGACTGCTTGGTCAGTTGGCAGTCCATCAAGCAGAAGGTTGTGGCGCTGTCAAGCTGTGAGGCAGAGTACATCGCCACCACCACTGCAGCAACACAAGCTCTGTGGCTGTCCAGGTTGCTCGGGGAGTTCTTGGCAGAAAGGTTGATGTGGTGGAGTTGAAGGTGGACAGCAAGTCTGCTTTAGCTCTGGCCAAGAACCTAGTCTTCCATGACAGGAGCAAGCACATTCGGATCAAGTACCATTTCATCAGGGATTGCTTGGAGGAAGGGAGCATTAAGGCCAACCACATCGCCACTACTGATCAGCTGGCAAACATACTCACCAAGTCACTGGGCAAGGCCAAGTTCCAGGAGATGAGGAGGAGAATTGGTCTGAAGCAGATCACTCAGCACTAGGCTTAAGGGGAGATTGATAGTTAAGCCTAGTTGCTTGTATCTTACTTTTCTACAGTTACTATTCACTGTCATGTAGTTTTCAGGTTCCTTGGCTTCCAAGTAGGAATCAAGGCATCTGCTTTAAAAAAAGGGCAGACCCAGTGTCGGAGGCTCCCACATGAGTGGGGTCTGGGGAAGGGAAAACCGAGGCAAGCCTTCCCCCCGTAAAATCTACGAAGAGGCTGCTTTGAACCCGCGACCTGGTGACTCAGTGAGACAGCTCTCACCACTGCATCAGGCCTGGCCTTCCAAGTAGGAATCAAGGCATCTGCTTTACATAGCAGAATATGCTAAGAGTAGGTAGAGGTAGCAAAAGCCACTTTGCTCTATATAATAAGTGGCAGACCATCTTGTATCAAAGTATTGCAACTTCATTTCAATCCAAGCGGCCTAGTGGCCAAGCTGCCCTCTGAGCTTTCTACCAAACCTGAGATCCAATTTCTTATGTCTGGGCATCAATAACCAATACAAAAATTAAGGAATTCTAAATCCATTAGCAAGTAAACTGCGATTTATACTGGCATTTGCTGGAACAGAGCATAGTTGCTTTTGTCTTGTATTGAAACTTCAAAACAACATGAAAATTAACACAAGCATTGATGTTTTCAATCATCAGCAAACCACAAGAAGGACTATGGTGAAGAGCAAGAAACTAAAGAGAAGAGGTCAACCTTTATTATGAATTAATGGCTTAGTATCATATAGGCTATTTCAGAAACAGAGCTTAAAATCTTCCACCAATATAGGTATTTTTGGCAGCAAGTATGAACAAGATCAATTGAACAGTAAAGATCAATACAGGGCTCAGATCAATTAAACTCCTTCCAAATCTTACGTGAGTGAGAAGACTATAGGTGCCCCAGGAATGTATTCCCAAACAAGTAAAATCCTTGAAATGATAAATAGTTCCACAAGAGCTTCTGAGTCTAGTAGGTGATGGGTGATAATTTCCACTGCTCCATTGTACTAAGAAATGACAGATAAGTTGTACAATTGATATATGCCACATCCAATACAAGTTTCTATCAGATGCTCTATGCTGATTATTCATAAAGAAAGTACAGAACACCTAAGGCTCTAAATTCAGGAGACTATTTCAATGGTGGAAAGTCAAGAAATTCACTGGTGGAACTAGGCAGTGTATGTAAACCTAGAGATGGCAAGGACAGACGAGCAGAACTTACTTGAGGAACCCATGCCCTCAGAGTACGGTCCCACTTGTAAATGGTGCCATCATCGTCAGTAAATTCCTCCTCTCCATCCGGCGGGGTTGCCGGCCGCTCATCATCCTGCGGGCCCACATCACCATCTTCAGCGCTGCCTTTCACTTCCTTCTCGGCCTCGGTAACCTCCTTTTGGAATTTCGCGAAATCATCATCGACATCCGGAGCAGCAGCTGCACAGAAACCCAATGGATGAGAAGGGAGCCTTACAGAAATTCCGTTGCAGGCACAGCGCAGGGCAATGGCACTAACCTTGTCCAGATTGATCCTTTGCTGCTGTGACTATAGAATGTAACTCAGGGATCGATGAGAGCGGCATCCATTCCTTCCTCCCTTGTGCCCACAGCATTGTGCCCTCGTTGAGGTAACCGTTTGCAAAATGCTCTGCGAAGGGAGCAAAATTATGCTTCGTGTTCAGAGTTATTTGGGGCAAACATATAAACCATAGAATCAAAATTCTACAAGTTGAAAGGCGTGAAACCGAAACCTTCTGGGCGAGATTATCTACCCAACGATTCAACTTGAGAGATCCTGAATGAATAAAATAAGCAAGAGGCTTGCTTCACCATCAGGGAAGGCAAGCAATTCCGCCTAGCTCACGGACTCAACCCTAAGCGGCAAGGCCTGACCCCAGCAAGAACGCAAGCTCTAGCCGTGAAACGCACTTGACTCCTAGGAGAAGGCGGGAGAGGGTCACCTCGCAGCTCCACAAGCGCGTAGGGGCCAACGCCCTGCTGGTCCGGGCCGAGCACGTACCAGCCCACCTCGCCGGCGGCGGCCGCGCCGCTAGTCTCCATCTCTACGGGCACCTCTCCAAAGCCGGGACAGAAGGGGAAGCGGGTGGGTACTGGGGGGGTGGACGAGGACGCTATTTCGTGGGAAACGGGTGGCCGGCGGCGGGGAGGGATGGTGGCGGAGGCGAGGCGGCGGGGAGCGATGGAGAGGCGGCAGGGGTACGTCAAGTCAAGCGGAAGCGGAACGACCGGTGGACGGGGAAGACTCGAGAATAGAAGAGAGCCACGTGTCGTATCTGGACGGCTGAGATCGCCCCCAACACCCGCGATCCAACGGTGGTGGGATTTCTGGGCTTCATTATCTGTCTTGACAAATTAGCAGCCCACTGGCTCACTGCTAGTGTTCGGGTTCGCCCTGTTTGGACTTTGGATTAGAAGAAACCCGTGTCTGATATTGGGTCTGTTTATTTGAAGTCAAATACCAGTACATTTCGAAAGCTTTTTCTGGCCATCTATTTGTAGTAAAAAAATGCAAAAATTATTTGTGCAGATTGTCTGAGATCTTGACAGTTATTAGGATCTAGCTTGTTTGGAATAGAACGACATTTTTTTATCAGATTCTTAAAGTCCATTCAGTTAACATGTAATTTATCATTAATTGACTATAGAAAAAAAAATTGTGAAAGAATTTTCACTTATGAATTGCCCTTTTAATTTAGGGCCGGACAAAAGTGCTCCGACCGAACTCGTTTTCTTTTTAAAACAAAATTAACTTGATTTTGAATAACTTTTGGCTTCGTCTCTTTTGAAGTTGGGTCTCAAACAACTAAAAAAAATGATAAATAAGAGTATGTTAATTGCGAAGAAAGCTCGAGAAAAAAAAATGCAGTTGACTTATTATCCACCCCTATTTAAATTGGGCTGGTGGGATGTCTAACATTGTTGCATCACCTAAAATACAAAAAAAAAATTGTTATTTTTAACGAGGGAGTGATGTTTTTTTTTCGTGGAACATGCATGCATGATGAAACATGATGGCCAGAGATTCCTAAACACAAGAAATGGAGACCGGTAAACAAGGCTGGATATCTTGCAAATTCGTACTTGTTTTAATGAATCAGGCAGGAGAGCTGCCGACTATATTAAAAATGAGAAACCCAGATTGGGTAAATACAGCAGAGCAACAAAGACTCCCTAGAGAGTCAATCAACCACAACAACAACAAAGAGAAAAAACTCGGGGCGGTTGGATTGGGACCTCCACACGCGCTAAACTCAAACTCAAAGAGAGAAAAAAAAACTCTGGGCGGTTGGATTGGGACATCGACACGAACCGAATAGAGCCGGAACTCAAGAAGCTGCACACCGCACCGCCTCCAAACCACCATCAGCCGGGTCACCACATTGTATCGCCATCCCCTGGACGACGAAGACGCCAAGACAAAACGATGTCGTCACAGCTCACGCCGTCGTTGCCAACGAAGTCCCACACTGAGGTAGCCCGCTACGAAGCAGAGCTAGTTGCCGCCGGCCACTGCAAGCCATGTAGCCGTACCGCAATCGAATCCGCTTGCGCCGCCTCTGGAGACGTTGTCCCACGCGTGGATGAGCCACGCGCGGATGAGCCACTACCAAGTAGGGCTAGCCATCGTAGTCTACTACAAGCTGCCGACACAATCATGAGCGGCTGCCTCTGGCACTCACCAAGTCAACCCCGATCACCGAGATCCATACACGCACCCTGTCGCTTCCGGCAACCTAGCTGCCCCACCGAAGGTAGAAGTGCCACACTCCAACTCCAGCAACCATCAGAGCGCCTCCTTGCACCGGGATGATCGCCGCTGTGCGGGACCGCCCCCCGCCACTCCACGCAGGTCACCTTGGCAACACATCTGCTAGCCGCCACCTCTCATGTCGGCCTCCACGCCAACTCCGTGGACACCACACACGCCGGCCTCCTTGCCATCTTCGTGATAGCAATTGGCACACGGTCCCGTTAGACCGTCGCCCTCCACTGGCAAACAGATGTGAAGCCCTCATTCGCTGCGTCAACACACTCATCCTGGCTGTCTTCCACCACCGTGGACACCGGTACCTCGAATCCTCAGGTAGGTCTCCACCTTCCTTGCCACGGCAGCAGCCGCCGCCACAGCCTGACAGGGCACCACCTTCCAAGCGACACCTCCGAGGAGGGGCACGACGCCACTGACGCCGTCGTCGCCTGACCAGAAGGTCAAGGTTATACACCCAAGAAGGAACACGCCGTGCAGGAGGAGAGGGCCTTTCGATAGACGCTTCCAAGGAAGTGAACGGCGCCCGAAGGCGTCGCCGTCATCGACCCAAAGAATGGGCAAAGCTTTCGCCATGGCGCCTTGTCCCCAAGCATGACAGTGGTCGGCCCGTCCTCGCTGCGGCAGCCTTCCCTGCTGAGCCCGTCGACAGTGCCGGCAGCCCCAGGTCGCAGGAGGAACGGAGGACGCCTTCACTGTCTATGTCGCCGAACTGTGAGAGGCTGGTGTTCCCCGCTCAACCGATGTCTGCCTCGCCGCCATGACACTGCAGACACGAAAAACGAGCAGGACGGCGCTGTCCACGCCACCACGGTGTCGACGTCGCACAGCTAGAGCAGCCGCCCACACCACCATGATGTCTGACGGCGCACGCTGTTGGCAGCACCACCATTTGGCCGTCACCTCCGCTCCTCCCGCACTGCCGCCACCACGGCCTCCGTGTCCTGCACGCCGATAGCCCGGCGCCTCCGACGGCAGCGCGCCGTGGCCCTCAAGTTCAGTCCCTGCCTCCTCCATCAACCGTCCAGCCCAGCCCTGCGCAGATCCACCCGGAAGGCTACCGAATCCACTCAAGGAGGCGCCGGATCCGGCCCCACGATGCCCCGCCGCAGCCGAACCTCACCGTCACCGTCGCTCAACAGGCCGCCTCGCCCCGGCTGGCCGCCTCCGCCGATCCAGTCTAAGGAACAACGGATCCGCCCATGGGTACGGCAGATCCGGTCGTTGGAGCACCGGGGCAGCCTCCAGCAGGCCAGGGATGGGAACACGACGGCCGCCCGCACGACCGCTTGCGCCGCCTGGACGAAGAGCGTCCTGCCGCCGCCTTCCTCACGGGCCTGCGCCTCCGGGCACCCGCTCCGACGACGGCAAGGAGAGAGAGAGAGAGAGAGAGGAGGGAGGACGCTCGGCGGCGGCGCGACAAGGAGCCCCCGTGTCACCTGCGGGAGCGACGCGGGGGAGAGAGATTGGTTTCGCTCTCCTACCGTACTCAGGGTCCGTTTGGTTGGTCTTTTGGCTTTGGCTTTCGACCCCAAAAGCCAAAAGCCCAACCAAAGGGGCTGCTTTTGGAGACGACTTTTTCAGAAGCAACTGTTTTTCCGTAGTACATTTTTGAAAGCTGATTTGACCCTGCTTTTGGCTTTCTGCTTTTCAAAATTGGTGGAATAAAATGCTCTTCTATAGTTGTTTCGAGAGAGATAAAGATAGAATGTATATTTTATACTTGTTTAACCAAACAGCTTTCAGCTTTTCTACAGCTCACAGCCCACAACAGTTTTCCCACAGTTTTTTCCCACAGCAGCTTTTTTCTACAGCCACATCTCAAACAAACACACCTCAATGGCAAATTCATACCGAAAGATGAGGTATGTGAAGAGATGGCATACGCTAGCTGCGCTCATCAGTACGTACTGTATGTCAGTGTCAGGAACTCAGGATGAAGAAGATTCTACTCGGCAACCACATACAAAGCGGTAGAGACATTAGAGTAGAGCAGACTGAAAAATGGAAACATGATTGAAATTGGTCCGTTCGCTGATCTGAAACTTGACTGAAACTGACTGAAAAATATGTTCCAACTAAATTATTGTGAGAAAAAAATATTGTTTCTACTAAAAAAAGAAGTCGAAGTTGAATATAGGGTAAGCTGAACAGACATAGTTTCCGGAGAATCGGGATCGAGCGCACGATGATCGACACACCAGACAAATGGCAAGGAACATGGCCCCCCCAAGACTACGGCAGAGACCGCCTGCGCTGGATGTACTCTAGTAGTACTGCTGTTTGGATTGGATCATCCAAACTGTCCGTCAGTGTCTCTTGTTGACTGGTACGGGGTAGATAAGATCCCATGTCCCCACCGTATCCGGCACGTTGACTTGTCCTCTGTTCAGGACCAGCGTAACATCCCCGCCGGTCTCCAGTTCGCCACCACCAACCAACCAAAGTCCACACTCCACAAAGCTCCCTCAGCTCCCACCAACCCCACGGCGTAAGCGGCAGCGGCGGCGGCGCCATGACCTGGAACAACCCCCCTCCCCCTCCCTCCGACGACGACGCCGACGACGGCCGCCTCCGCGAGCTCGGGTACAAGCAGGAGCTCAGGCGCCACCTCTCGTACGTACGCGAACAACGCCGCCGCCTCTCCGTCCATCTCTGCTAGCTACATCGTCAGCTCGAGCGTTTGTTTGACCATTCCCTGCTTCCTCTTCTTGCTTGCTTTGCCGCCCGCAGGGTGCTGTCCAACTTCTCCATCTCCTTCACCGTCATCTCCGTGCTGACGGGGGTCACCACACTCTACAACACCGGCCTCGCCTTCGGCGGGCCCGCCACCATGACGCTCGGCTGGTTCCTCGCGGGCGCCTTCACCATGGCCGTCGGCCTCTCCATGGCCGAGATCTGCTCCGCCTTCCCCACCTCCGGCGGCCTCTACTACTGGAGCGCCCGCCTCTCCGGCCACCGCTGGGCGCCCTTCGCCTCCTGGATCACCGGATGGTAGGTAGCTACTCTTCCACTGTATGACTTGTTCTTTTTACATTAAAAAAATGGAATCTTTATCTGTGATCATGAAAATGGTAACTTTATTTGCAATCATGAACGCTGCTTTCATCTTTGGCTTGGAGCACTCTTGTTCAGTATGTATGCGTTGACTTGAGAACGTACCATTGTCCTGTTTCCAACTGTTCACTCTGAAACCGCGACCTCAGTTCTTTCTAGCCTCTAACACGTATCGTTTCTTTGCCTGTGTTACTACTTTCAGGTTCAACATCGTGGCACAAGTAAGCAAGCAGAGTATCCCGTTTCTGAATCTCCATTCCTCCAATCAATCAATCTTCAGTCTCAGCTCTCAGCCACTGCTTATTCGATATTCGATCCAATCCACCTCTCTTCTCAATTTCTGCAGTGGGCAGGCACTGCCAGCATCGACTTCTCGCTGGCACAGCTAATCCAGGTGATCATCCTTCTCAGCACTGGGGGCAACAATGGCGGGGTTACTTGGCGTCAAAGTACGTCGTTTTTGGCTTCCACGCAGGGATTCTGCTGAGCCACGCCGCCATCAACAGCCTCTCCATCACTTGGCTATCTTTGCTCGGACAGTTCGCTGCGCTTTGGAATATGCTAGGTAGTAATGTCTGACTGATGTCTCTATAGACTCTGCATCACTTCAATTGCAAAGGCAAACAAACATATTTTACTAGTATTTACTTTGCTGATGAGATGTGCATGGCATGATATCTGTCTGTCCTGTTTTTTCAGGTGTCTTTATCCTGATGATTGCTGTACCAGTTTTTGCTACTGAGAGGGCCAGTGCAAAATACGTTTTCACCCATTTCAACACGGATAACAGCGCCGGAATCCACAACAACCTCCACATCTTCGTTCTGGGTCTCCTCATGAGCCAATACACGCTGTCAGGATACGACGCATCTGCACACATGGTAACAGAAAGAAAATCCTGCTAGCTAGTGTCATGGAAACTTACTAGTTACTATGGTAATTAAGTAGCACTGTCCTAATAATGAATGTGTTTTGGCTCTATGATATGATGCAGACCGAAGAGACGAAAAACGCAGGCAGGAACGGTCCGATTGGAATAATCAGTGCCATCGGTATATCGTTGGTAGTAGGCTGGGGGTACATTCTTGGCATCACGTTTGCAGTGAAGGACATCCCCTTCCTCCTGAGCCCCGACAACGATGCGGGAGGGTACGCGATCGCTCAGGTGTTCTACCTCGCCTTCAAAAGCCGGTACGGGAATGGTGCTGGAGGAATCGTCTGCTTGTGGATCGTCGCCGTCGCTATATACTTCTGTGGCATGAGCTCGATGACTAGCAACTCAAGGTGATACTCTGCTGAACTTGTCATTGAGATGTCTGAAGAACTCCATAGTGGAGCAACCATGATTGATTACTGCTGATGGCCGCTGCCTTTTGTTCAGGATGACTTATGCGTTCTCAAGAGATGGGGCGATGCCGTTTTCATCCATCTGGCACAAGGTTAACAAGCAAGAAGTGCCGATAAACGCAGTCTGGCTCTCAGCTTTCATTTCCCTTTGCATGGCATTGCCGGTAACTGAACTGAATCTTCCCACTCGTAGCCTTCAGAATTGAGGTTACAGACTTACAGTTCACCTAGCACGCAGCCTCTGATCAGATCAATGCAATGCATGATGATTCACCTTGCTTGTTTGTTTTCCAATCACCCAAATGCAGTCTCTGGGCAGCCTGGTCGCGTTCCAGGCGATGGCATCTGTCGCGACGACCGCGATCTACATCGCCTACGCGCTGCCGATCCTCTTCCGCGTGACGCTGGCGCGCAACCGCTTCGTACCAGGCCCCTTCAGCCTCGGCCGGTACGGCGTGCTCGTGGGCTGGATCGCGGTGCTCTGGGTTGCAACCATCACCGTGCTCTTCTCGCTGCCGGTGTCGTACCCGGTGACCAAGAACACCCTCAACTACACTCCGGTCGCCGTCGGTGGGCTCTTCACCCTGATCTTGTCGTCGTGGATCGTCAGCGCAAGGCGCTGGTTCACGGGTCCCGTCACGAATTTGGGAGGATAGAGTGGTGTTGAGTTGTGTGATTTCAGTAGTATGCAATGCTAGGGGGTGAACGTTGACTGTTGAGGTGCACGGTTTCAGGTGGTGTATAGTGACTGCTGTTAATTGTAGGATTAGATGTTTAAGAGTGCTGATAGTGCAACAAACAAACAGCAGTTCTTGTACTAGCTCAACACCGTTTGATGTAACGTCATACATTTTTTTTTCTAGAACGTGCTTAGCACGTGTTTCGTTAAGAAGAAGTTTAAAAGCATACACGCCCTACATCACATCACAGCGAGATGCCATTAGTGATGGGGTTGAACACAAACAAAACGCACTGCAGAGCGGTGGAACGCACATTGGTTTGATTAACTAAGAAACTAATTCTACGACCAAAGTGTCGGGTCAGCGCTGCCCACTAGGCATGCTCAATATCGGGCAGCACCATGCCCATGCGCGCTCCAGCCATCGGGAACAGCTCACGCATGGCGGCCTGCTTGGAGGCGAAAAGCGGCCCGGCAAATGTTTCATGGAACTTTGCTGCAATGGCCGGATCCGGCGTCTGCGACCCGTTCGCCGGCTCGCGTCTCCACTTGTTGAGAAGGATGCGCTTCGCCTGCTTCTCCGGGTTGGGGTCACGGTGGATGGACTTGGCAGCTAACATGTCACTGCGTCTTGGGACGAACACGGAGTCGTCAAGACATGATACACGATGGCACGAGGAGGATGCGATCAGCAGTTCCTCCAGTGGCAGCTTCAGGGATGCGATGAAGCTCTGCAAGGAGGCCACAGGCACTGTAGGTTATCTAATAGGTACCGCTGCCGCTGCCGGCTGAGCGCTTGGGGTCGCGACTTGGGCCACCTCATCGGCCACGGTCACAACTGTGGAGGGCGCCGAAGATTCCTCCATATCCTCGGCCACATGCTGTAGTACATCCTCCAGCCCGAGCCCAGATGCGGAGGTGGTGCCGTTGTCAGCCCCCAATGCGCCACAGTTCTCGACGTCTACCCTGGGTTCATCCAGACCTAGAAGTACTGGGCTCTCACAAGCCCCCAGCACTCCCAATGAGGCTGGGGCTGCCGCACCCACTGACAGCGACCCAGGGCGTAGACATACTTCAACCAGCATAGGGTCGAAGGTTCGTTGCGGAGCCTCCAAGCAACGGTCCACCACGAGCTCTGGCTCCCAATATGCTACGCCCCTCCGTTCATCACCTCCCTGTAGAACGACAGCCGGAGAACCCGACTTTGACATCGCGCCCCACTCACAAGACATGGGGTCCCAAGGGATGTCAGCCAACTGTGACCTGGTCTCCACCAGGGCGGAAGTGAGGGAGCTAAATGAGGGAACCCACTCCGGCTCCAACGACTGCCCGAAGTCTCCGCCATCGGCACCTTTGGGGAGGGGACCGCTGGAAGGGTCCAAGGAGGCCGAGCGAGCAGACGTCGAGTCATCCACGATGTGCAAATTAGGCTGCTGTGATGACCTCCTCCGCGGCACCCCACGGCGATCGTCGAACGAATGCGACAGCGGGGGACCTCGCCTGCCCTCCCTAGCAGCCGTTGCCAGAGAACAATCCTGGGCCCGATGACCTTCACACCGGCAGTTGAGGCATCGCAACGGGAAAGTGCACGCCGCCTTGACGTGATCACCTACCAGGCAGTTGAAGCATAGGCCTACGAGATTCGAAGGGACTGGCCTTACCGGCCATGGCAGCACCCAACGACAGCTGTGCACCTGGCGGAAGCCCTCAGCATTAGGCTCCATGGACATCCTCACGGGGTGGACGATGATAGAGGCCAAACGCCTCTCCGGCGCCAGCTCAATGCCTTTCACAGCGCCCACTGAAGCCTTGCTTGCGCCAGATCGACGGGCGCGGTGACTGACGGACCAGGGTCCTAGGGGTTCCCCACGGGTGTAACACCCTAGGTGTTTGTCACCAGTTCAGCAATGGGTTTGAACTCAAACATGACATGTTAAGTGATGATGAAGGTGTCAAGATCAAATCTACAAGAACTTAAACTTGGACAACACACCCTTACTTACATGTGTAACCTTGTTAAGATTATGCAAGAGTAATGTTAACATGCTTATTTCATGTATATTACATCAACATGCATCCATCTTGACCAGTGGAAAAGTTTCATGAAGTTTGGAGCTAAAAAGTTACATGAAATGATGAGTTACATTCTTTCTTGAATTGCACTATTAAGTGAATGGAATTATAGGTCATCAACCAAACCTTGCTACCTTGCCCAAATGACTCTAATTGAACTCTACAACAAAAGTCATGAAGGGTTCGTGTTGAGCAAATGTCAAGAAAAGGCCTCAATTGGTCGAAAACCCTAATTCCAGGGTTTAACGAGGTACTACTTTGACCAAGATGAAGAAATGGTTTCTATACCAGATATGAAGTTTGACCGTTAATAAAAGTTGAAGTTTGAGTGGAGTACAACAAACTTTATTTTGGGACCAAGACCTGATTCAACTTCTAATTGGCTCAAACAGAGGACTCAAGATGGAATCAGCTGCTGTTTATGGGCTCTAAATAATTCTAAGTCCGGAATTCATCGTCATTGACATTGGCGTTTCACGTTCTTAGATTTTTGTTAAGCAACTCAAGTTGAGCTAAATATAAAAGTTAGAATATATGTTTTGGAGAAGGACATACAAAAAGTCGGAATCAATTTGACCACGTTTTGACCAAGTAATTCGAGGTCAAGCAGAGAAAGGCTTAATCCTCCATTAGTCGTTGACACTGACAACTTCGGGCTTAATTAGGTGCTAATGGAGAGCTCTAATGGCCAGGCACCCTTAATGAGTTTTGTAGTTCATTAGGTGGGCTGCAACTTCACTTTTGGGCCCAAGGTCCAAATCAGCCTGTAGCTAGCCCAAATCGGCTCCCCACCTCGCCCACATCGACGCGGGCCAGGTGTTCTACGGCGGGCCCCAAAGGGGACACGTGGTTGCCATGATCTCCGCCCCTGCTCCACGCGTCGGGGACACCCTGCCCAAGCCGCGCCGCTGCCAGACGCTGTCCCGCACTGAGCTCCATTCCACGCTCGCTGCCGCTCCTCCATGGCCGCTGCCGCCATGGCGAGCCGCCGGGCAGAGCCCGAGCTGCTGCCGCGGGTGCTGCTCCCTCTCCTCCTCTGCGCAGCTCTACAGCCGCCTGCTCCATCGCCGCACGCCGCTCTCTCGATAGCGCTGCTGCTGCTGTCGCTCGCGGCCACGCCCGCCATGGACGCCGGAGCAGAGCTCGACGCCACCCACGCGCTCCTGTCCCCTCTGTGCCTCCTCCGTCCCAACTAGCCTCGCCTTCGCGTTCCTCGAGCCGCCCCGTGCGCGCCGCGCCTCTCCTCCGAACGCCTCCACCATTGTGCGCGGCTGCCGCCGATGAGGCTGCCGCGACCGTCGCTGGCTCGCATGGCCGGCCCTCCACCGTCCATCTCCGTCCGCGATTGGACCTCCTATGGGTGCGTCTAGGCACGTTGATGCTCCGGGACCCCACCTTCGCCGCCGACCAGCACCACGACGGTCGGAATCGCGAGTTCCGGCGAGCTGCCCTGCTTCTGGCCGGGTGAAGAAGAGGAGGGAGCTTCTCATGTAAATAGGAAGTCTTCCAGGGGGTTAAGTGCAGAATCCAAGACTCATACAAATAGTGTTATTAGGACCTGTTTGCTTGGTTTAATTAAAGTTTCTTGCTGGGTCCTCTGTGCAAAATGTGTTTTTCCTTTATTCCTTTTAATTGGCTGAAGCTTTGAAAAATCCTAATAAATTGTAGAAAAATCTAAAAATAGCAAATGAGGACCTTTTGAAATCCTTGTAAATAGATCTACACATTAGAGTCATAATATGATATGTTTTAGTAGAAAATTTTCACTGTTTTTATTTATCTATGATAATTAGGGTTTTCTAGGAAGAAATTCATATATAAAGTTGTGGTGCTCCAATTGTTGTGACATTTTTATAGGAAGCCATCGTCTGCCCACCGGCGGAACTTGGAGCGGCCCACCGAGGCACCGCTGGGGTAGAAGGGTGCGGCGTTGGGAGAGAGGAGCGAGCCATGGCCGCCGGAGGCGGAGCAGGCCACCGAATCCTCCCGTGGGCTCGGGATCTGCTGCTGCCCAAATTCACGGGGTGCTGGAGATGAAGCCGGCGGCGGGGGCGGCGACGACGGCGGCGTAGAGGGGCCACAACGCTGGGGAGCAGCCCGCGGAGGTGGAGAGGCACCCAGCGGCGGGGATGAGGGCGTGGCCGTCGGATCTGGTCGTGGCTGGGCCGTGGGGCCGGATCCGGCCCCGCCAAGGCGTGTGGTGCCAGCTCTTGACCTCATGCCGTGCTGTCCCAGCGCACGGCTGGGTAGGGGAGGTGGGGTAGCTGAGGGAGGGAGGTGAGGGGAGGGAGGGAGGGGGCGGGCGCCGGGGGCTAGGGCAGCAGCTGTGGCGGGGGGTGGCCTTGCCAGGGCGGGCGGGCTAGGGATAGGAAGCGTGGATCAGTGAGGACTACCTCTTAACAGGTCCTTGTCAAGTCATACTTTAAGGTTTGGCAGGAGAGTTACTTCTCCCCACAGATTTAGCATACATACATACATATAAAGAGTTTACAATTGATGTCTAAGCAAGCATTAAACTTTGATGGCATGGTCAGCTTGAGGCAGGCATACTCGCAGCCGCGTCTCTTCAGAGAAGTTGAAGAAAGCGTCGACATCGAATTGTAGCGCAGCCACCGTTGGCTCCTCTGCTTCGGCTGACAGCATATCCTCCATGACCTTGGCGAAGTCGTCGTCGTCTTCGAGCGTAGCCGGTGCTGCGGTTACTGTTTCTTCAGCTGCTTCCGCTGTCCGCATGGCGTCTTCAATTTCCTTGTCAAGTTCGTCCCAGCCTTCTTCGTCTTCGTCTGGAAGGGCAGCAGACACCGTTTGCTCCTCTGCTTCGGCTGTCGACATGGCGTCCTCCAAGGCCTTGACCAAGCCGTCGTCCTCGTCGTCTTGAAGCGCAGGCGCAGCAGCAGGGGATTC